TCATCTGAAGTACCAGAAATAACATTATTATTAAACCTGCCGTATTTTTTGGCTAACTTCCACCAGACGAATGCTGTAGTTTCAACCACACAGTCTTTCTTCATAACCATACCCTGTAATGACACAACTACAGATTTCAGCAAACGTAAACACACAGTAGTTGAGTGGCCTGACACCGTTTTGCTGTTTAAAGAGCTGTCAATCAGACAGACAGATGCAATTCTTCAGCACACCAATTTCAGTGATTTATGACAGGTATACAGTAAAACTGGTGCAGCAGCAATTAGCAAAACCAGAAACCCTACTAGTTATTTTCAGCATTGACACAGACCCACTATATCACAAACTCAAACCCAACAAACATAAAAGAATAAAATATAAAATGCACAAATAATGACATAAATATGAACCCATCTTCAAACAAACACGCAGCAGGATTTATGACTGTTTGTCAGGGTTGGCTTTTGTGGCTTCCTTGAAGTCTGGGTTCAGCAGAGTCATAAGATCCATCATGGCTTGACTGATTTGAGACCCAAACTTATGAGAGTCCTATAAACAAGAAAAATTAACATTGCACTTTAATTTAATATGCTACATAATCATAGCATTATGAAATAAAATCACTTATCTTTCAAAACAGGACACCAAATGCCTGTTAAATATAAGAATAATAAATCTTGAAAGTTAAGCCTACTCTACAGTAACTGAACTTACAAAAAAACAAATAATAAAATGCACAGAACAAACAAGATGCATAAAACAAAGCTATAGACACTAAAACAAACAAAAGATCATTTGCGCTTTTATTTTATATTATAAATAAATTATTTTGGATGAATAATATTATTTTAAAATAGGAACTGTATGAACAATATTCATATACTTCAGATTTATTACTTTTTTGTATTTTGTAGTTTACTTATTTTAACCACTTTATATACATTACAATATGTCAGTGTATTAAAAATGATCTTGATGCAGCTTCATAAAAAAGGCAAAGGTAATTAATTGATCTGAAAGTGCAAGCATGATTTTAAGACTGTGTAGTGATGCAGGGTTGTTTTGCTCTTACAGTCTCTGTGCAGGAGTGCTTGCAGGACACATGGAAGTTAATCATTTCCTCGCCCATAATGATGTAAGATACACCATAGCCATCATCAGCCACCTTACACAGGAACAAAACATGAACACAGTGAACGCATGAGTGCTTCTACCTGTTTATGTGTGTGTTGATCAGTTACTCACCGGACCAAAGCCTCCTCCCAGCGAGATGAACTCAGGATGGTTGACCAAATCAAACAGCTCCATCTGTTGCACAGGGGTCTGAGAGGTGGAGAGGCGCCAGGGCTGTGACAACACCTGCAAGTCCCATACAGCCACACACACAAATGAACCAACAACTTCATGCACACGCAACCATTTAGCCATAAATGCCCTTTATATCACACATTAACATTTTAAACAAACAATCAGCTACCAAATTAATGTTTATGCACTAGTTTAGTTAGAGAGTGATTCATTTTATTCTTTGAAGCTATTAAACGACATCTTAGGATTGTTTGAAGACTCATTGGTGGTTTTTGAGAGGTCAAAGATAAGATCTTTGAAGAAAAGCAGGTTAGACATTTTTTTGGGTGGTTTATCAAGATGATCACATCCATGACTGCACAAAATGAACCAGTCTCCCCAATACAGACAAACACTAACCTCTTTAAGGAAAGGAGACTCTACCCCCAGGTATTTTGAGACCACATATAGGCAAAAGAGGTGCCTGTCAATGCCAGATCCAGTCATGGCCAGACGGTAGAGGTTCTGATGCTTCTCAGCAGCCTTTCGGAACAGCTTGCGGCAATGTTCTCTGTCCTATGAATAAAAATCAGGCAAAATGAAATAACTGCCATGCGAGATGTTACATGACAGTGCAAAGTAATTATGGGGGGCTTTGGCATAAAATTTAATCAAATGAAGAACTCAACTATCAATGTATTCAAATAAAATAATAAAATGTTTAAAAATGTAATTTAATTATACAATAAATAATAAAATAATCATTTTTGCATGCAAACTTTAAATAGTATTTTTATAAAGTATTTACAAATACAAATTGCTTTTCTTTATTATTTAGCCAAATTATTTGCTTTATCAATTAGCCAATCAAGTTATAAAACAGGGCCCGTATTCACAAAACATTTTATCTTACAACTAAGAGTTCTCCTAAATAGCAGTAAACATTTTTAGCTAAGAGTTTTCTCCTAAAACCTATTCACAAAGCTGCTGACACAAACTTTACACAGAAGGAACAGACAGAAGTCTTAAGCTAAGAGTAAGGGGGCGGGGTTGACCTCGTTGCTATGGATAATGTCAGCATGCTTACTAACTATGCACACAGTGATTGGCTGATAGTCAGAGATTTATTCATAGAAATATTGTAGAGCGCAATATTATGTTGCCATATTCAAATAAAGGTTTAAAAATAAAAAAAAATGTTAATTGCCACATTCAAATAAAGATTTTAAAATGCAGGATAAGTGTCCCTAATTAAACAAGTATATGTTCAGCTTATTGTCAGCCTCTTACACGTATGCTTCTCATAATTAGTGAATATGCATATACACAGTCTTTTAATTAACAGAGTAGAATAATCATAGCTGATAGTAATACATGCAAATGTAAAAAAAAACAAAAAAAAACTGGATGCAAGAACAGCTGTTAATTCTTGCCCAACTGGTTCATGAAAACAAGGATATAATCAAAGGAAAATTTGGAGTTGGGATAACCTCCAAAACCAAAGGCGATACCTTTTTAAAAGGTCATTATCATCAAATGTTTCTAAAATATTTACGTTCCCAGGCAGATTGCCGGCAACAGCCATTTTAGGATAGTTTGTGGTTTGGTCTTAGTGACTTAGGAGTCCTCTTCATTACTCCTAACGTTTCACAGATTTTTTGTGAAATACTCTTAGAGCAAAAATGTAGGAGTCCTAAATTTAGGATTGACACGCCCATTATTTTTAAGATTTTCTCTTAAATCGGCAAGTTATGAGCTACTTTTAGCCCTAAGACGTTTTGTGAATACGGGCCCTGGTCTTTTTTTGACCATTTGAAAAGTGATTTATTCGTTTATTTTATTTATTACATTTAACTACATTTTTAAACATGAAATAAACAGTTTAAATGTCTATTTATTCGTCAGTCATATTATAT